ACTATATTAAACTTCAACGTTAATATTTTAAGAAACAGTTTTTTTACTCAAATTTTAACGGTATACTGAATGAGATCAGTTTCTGTCGATATACTGTATCCCTGAAAAGATTGTTTAATATCACTCTGATTTACAAACTAGTTGGATTTTAGAAATCAGCTAACAGTTAAATTCAGGATGCCCATTTAATTTTACTGGTTAGGTGAATATGCCAAGATCTCATTGATAATATTTACAGTGTGAAACAGACTTAGTTTCCGTTAGTCTCAGTGTCACTAATCTAGTTTAATGAACTTCATAGTTTCAGCTGCTATTGTCCATTCACATATTATTAAATTTTTAAAAACTATTTGCCTTACAAAAGTGATCAAAATTTTTAATGGCCAAGACTATATGTACATCAAAAGTGTAGATTATTCATAAAAATGATTCACACTCGAATATTGATCCATCAAAATTAAAACTAGTATAAAATACATGATAATAAACTACTTTATTCATTTCATTGATATATACATCTTATTTTAAATCCATCAAAAATATGTTATACATTATCATGAATGGCGTCGACTACTGAATGTTTAATTTTTAACAGATCAAAAAACATTTAATCATCTTTCGACTATTTTCTATATGAATAATATTCACAAATAAAACTATACAGTAATGAATGATTAAGCAAACTTCTAAATATACTTAGTGTTGTTTGTTTGAATCCTTCCATTGAAGTTTAGGACTGCAACTGGTCAGTCTCTTATTGGCTGTCATGACTCAGTAGCTGAGTGGATATCGCGATGACGTTTGAAGCGAAAGGTACTGGGTTCGAGTGCCAGAGTGAACATCAACTCTGAGATGCAGGTACATCCAGCTGACGAGTCCCGAATAGGACGAAACGCGCTTCTTGGATTCCACTGCTAGCCACCATCCAAACTTCTAAATAGTCTAATAATCAGATATGAACATTTCTTAATTAAAACACAATTATATGAAGGAAGAATATTCTTTTCAATAATTTCTCATCAGGTTCTACAACTATAAATCCAAGTTAATAATCCATAAAAGATGGGTCAAATTTAAGGCAGAGTACATCATTTAACAAAACTGTAACATGTGAATCAAGGAGTGTTTGTCATATAAAATTAAATCGAATCGTTAATGTTGGAGCTGACTAATATGTAGTGCTAACTTGAATCAGTTTATAAATGAAATAAAATCGAAAGACAAATGATCAGAATAAATATGCTTGACATAGGGTGAGATAGAACAATGGGATTACAAATCAGAAATTACGCAATATGTAGAATAATATGAATTAGGTCGGATATAGTAGATAGGGGTGGATATTAAATAAATTTCTCTACAAGGTTAGCAAGTGTGATAATAATAATAATGACTGGTACGATGTGTAGATAAAATAAGTTTAGGATATAGAAATGAACAATAATCAAATTAATGTCACCATATTACAAAATTGATTATTAACAAGTTGACCCTAAAGTTGGCCAGGGTGAAAGGAGAGTCTGGATATATTTATATTTCATGCAAAGCTCTGGCGTTTTGATGCGAATAGAAATTGCCTCAGCCATCTGCAGGGTTCTCAGTCTGACGGAATTAGATAGGCTGCTGTTAACACGATATATTATTGTGAAAGATTGCTCCATGTTGGCTCCATGTCCCGTCGAGCTGTTAACCGTTTTGACTACACCTTTGCTTAAGCACACTGGGAGGCGCTCACTAGCCGGAATATACAAATTGATTAAAGTAAACAATAAAAGTATTTTATAGTTGAAAGCGTGAATCAGTTGAAGCTAGAACATCAAGGAAAACCTAAAAGCACTGGAAGGCCATTTCGTCCCATTGTGGGACTCCTCAGCAGTGCGCATCCACGACCTCGCCTCACCAGATTCGAACCCAGGATCTATCAGTCTCACTCCAGAGCACTTAACCGTAAGACCACTGAGCCGGCCGGCATCCGATGGTGTTTATGTCTATCTTCAACCAATCCACGAAATTGAACAACCGTTCACCAATTGTCTTCAGTGAGTTGACATCTCACAACAGACGTGTTTTGAACTCCACTGGCCACTGCTTCTCACTAGAACTCCAGGAAATACCTCTTGAAGCCAGTCACGAGTGAGCATATTTTTTTAATTTTTAGTTGATTTATTATTTGAATAAAATTAACTTTTGATTAACTTAAAAAGTATCGTAATCAAAACTGAAATAAGTTTAATATATATCTATGCAGTGCTAACATGTTTTGTTGTAAAAAAATATAAAAAAACCTATTATCTAAATGAAAACAATAAGATCCTTTGAAAAAGAAGAGATATATACTTATTGATTTAACTTAGAGATTACCACATAAATACTAACTCCTTTTTTTCTATGATTATATGATAAGTGGTTGATTTTTAAGAGGAAATTAACTGATGGATTTTAGTTTTCAATCACTGCTTTATAACAGTCGATAATTTATATGTTAGCAGATTACTATCGGTTTACATATGATTTATATTACATAAATTTTACAGACATTGATGAATACATTTAACTTTAATTATTTGATAATTGAATTCACTGTTATCCGAATTCTGATTTACAGTTATCCGTTCAAGTTTTCAAGTTGGCATTATTAATCTTATTTCGCATATAGACTAATCACCACTATACTGATGAATACTCATTTTATATAAAAAGAAAAAAACTCATCATTTACGCACATAGAATTTGATCTTCGAAAGGTGTAAATGCTTTCAGTACACTATTTATATCTCTTCGGTTACTGAATTCTTATGCTTCAAGGTTTTCCTTGGTGGTTTAGCATCAATTGGCTCATGCTTTCAACTATGAAAATACTGAAACCTCCACAAAACCCCTTCTGATATTTACGCAAGATTGTCTAAGATGAATGAGGTATGTAGAATTTACGCCAATTCACCGAATGCCTTCAAATGAATGTAAACTGAATATTGTTAAATGATATGTTTGACGTAACGTTTGTTGGCAAAGTGAATTTAATCTTATACACATGGATTCTTGTGAAGTAATTTAAACGTCATGAAGTATATAAATTTTGTCAGTTTTGTTTCGCTTTCTCACGTGATGTTTACAACACAAACGTTCGTGAAATGATGTGAATAAAATAATTAGAAAATTTTAAATTCCCTATCACTTCTCATTAATACAGTAGTACCAGATTAAATAAACGATAAGTATGAACAATTAAGAGGCGAAAATAATAATCATTCTGTTAATACATTTAGTGTACGGTAGTTACAAATTTTGTCACATTTTGTAGCATCCACTCTGAAAAGTAACGTTTATCTTACTGCACCTAGATTTTTCATAGTATTTTGACAAATGGAGTATTTAGGCTACTAAATGTAGTGCTTTTCCAATACAATTAATCTTGAATCACTAAACATAATTCATGCTTTTAGTCTTACTTCAGTATTTGAAAATCGATAGTATCGTTGATGCTAAACAGTCCACCTTTGTGAACATCAGTATTGTAATAATGTGTGATTTTGTTAACTGGATAGCTTTATAATAACTTATTGAAACATTTTCCCATTAACAGGACAATTTTTTTAAAATGTAAACTGATGATGGGTATTAAAGTATTCTGTTTCTGAGTGAAAAGAGTGTTGTTTTTGACTGACTATTTTTTCGTAGTTCGATCGTGATTAATGTTTTACCAAAAGCAATATGTGGTTATAAACCACAAAAAATTTTAAATATAAAGTACATTTTGCTTACATTTGTAGTTAAATAGAAGATACATGTGGAAAGGTATGATAGACTAATAAAATCAGATACGTTGCACAATACCTCTAAGTTGTACAGTATATTCGATACATCTTTAGGTCAGATATAGCAAGCTTGTGAGTTGCTTACTTTCTCTTCGCGACTAAGAGTGAAAAAATTCCACATAACAAACTGTTCATAAGTCTTGAATCAAGAACATCTTTTTGATATCTGAACAGTTTTATTTTTAATATGCTAAAAAGAGTACATGGACATCTATCCTGATATTTTGAACTTTTCATTTAGAGGAAAGTTTTTAAAACAATTCATCGACAAAAGTGCGGTATTCCATCGTTATACAATCTTTACAAAATACACATTCAGAACTTATATCTTTCTGAGGAAGAGTTACAAAAGTACATAATACGCGATCTAATTAAGGAAACGAGTATATAAGTTCAACATGGCCAACTTTCAAAATTCATTATATTTATTATTTGGAGTAAATATTCTTGTATAAAATAGATTTCCTTTTATGAATCAATTTATCCGCATAGTTTATGCATACAGGTGTTTGAATCTTCCCATTGATGTTTAGGACTGCAAGTGGTCAGTTTCTAATTGGCATATGTGCATGCTGTGCGTATTGCCTCGGTATAGCCTTATTTCACAAGCATTATAAGCAGAGATGGATAGTGGCTTGCAGTGGAGTCTAGGATGCACGTCAATTCCTATTTGTGACTCGTCAGCTGGATGTATCTGCATCTCAGAGTTGTCCATTTTTGCTTACAAAACAATATCAATGTTTCTTGAAAGATGGTCATATATTATTGTTCATCAAATCATCGGTTATTGTTCTTATACATCCAGTTTATGCCTCAAAACTCTTTCAAAGTAGAGTTATAGCAACAAAGTTTTTAATACGTATATAGAATCACAACTATATATTTATAATAACACTATATTACTTGTAAGGGTTGGATCGATATAATTATTATTGATAGATCTAAAGTTGTATAGATGTTGGTATCAACAAGTTTCCGATACATTTCACCTGTCAATAAATAAAAGCCTTTTTAAAAAATTACCATTTATAAACTAAGCTATTATACTCTTCTCCATAGTTTAATTCAATTCATTTTAAAAGTATGCCTGATCACTATTATTTTAGTACATATAAATGCTTGCATATATTATATGTTTATGAATGTAATTGTCATAATACATATGCATAAAAGAACATCAACACAGTTAACCAAAAAAAATAATATTATAGAACTATACTAAAATATTCTTGATTCATAAATATGTGTAAGATATAACTGAAAATTAACCAATCAAATACGAGTTTATTTACCTGACAAGGTCTAACAATTTTGATTGGTTAATTTAATGTGCTAATAATAATGAATGATTATTTTACTTTAAAATATTTTTAATAAGCCTACGCAAAAGTTCAACCAAAAAAAATCTTTTTTATTGAAAGGTGATTTGTTTATTATAGAATAATAAATTATTATTATTTTTTTAAAAAAAATTTATTTTATTTACTACTGGAAAGAGATAATGATGACACATTCTATCATTTGAAATTCTTTAATTATTAGTGTTATTGTCATCATTATACTTATAATTATATCAAGCAAAAGGGTTAATGTATTGAAATTCTATTACCATTATTGTTTATAAAAGAAAAAGAAAAAAAAGAAAAGAATCACGCTACTTTTGTTTACTAGTTAATCAATAAATATGAATGATAATGAACCAACTATGTTATTAAATGAAACATCATTTTTAATTGGAAAAAATTCTTTTAAAACTGAACGACCCAATGAAGATGATTATGATAATGAAATGAATCTTATAGGTCATAATATTTGTCAAAATGGTAATCATAATATCAATAATCATATTAATAAGAATGATAATTATGAAGATGATAATGATGACGATGATATAGATGATGATTATACAGAATTACATCATGATTTAAGTACAGTACATGAATTAGATTCACATAGTATAGAATCTGAACAAACAATGAATACAACAAGAGTAATAACAAAAAAAACTACAACAACACCAAATGGTATAATACATATATATCATACAGATAATTCACATAACAATAATTCTAATAATACAACAAAACATCAAAAACATTTAAATAATTATGATGATAATGATGAAGTAATTGATGATATGGATGATGATATTAATTGTGAAGATCAATCAATTAATGAACTTGATATAACGGATGAATCAATATATTATGAACCTTATTCTAGATCACAAATTAATATAACATTAGGAAAAGGTAATCAACTCAATGATACATTAAATAAAAGACCTAGTAAAAGTCATGGATCATTGAACAATACAAATTGGAAAGTGGTAAAGCCGAATAAATCAAAAGAATATGTACTAGCTGTCTCACAACGTCCTCCATTACCAAGAAATATACAAACGTATAATCATGGTTACTATCCAAGTAGACGTGAACATTCACATACAAACGAATTCCATAGTAATATCAATGGTGGCCATGAAGGAATGGGGGGTGGTAACAATGGTCCGTTTGATTATTGGACTATTCCAAGAAATTCTCAACCACATTACAAGATACGAAGTTCAGAGAATAAAGAATTTTATATGCCTGGGAATTTATTTCTTAATGAAAAATCTCTACCACGTTCAAGACGTAAAGGTCATAGGAATGTTAGAGAAAAAAGTGAAGCTATACTCAATGGGTCAAGTAACACTGGAAAGCATAGTAATCGTCGAAAGTCTTCAAAACCTTCCGACAAAGTGGATAGTACCAGTTTAACACAACAAAAAAGTGACTTACCAAATGTAAATGATGCAGAGAAACGTCGAAGTGAATTAAAAGTTAGTTTGCATTGAATTATGCATAATTTTTTTCAGTGTAATAATCGATTTCTATCTAATGTTTAATTTTCTCAGATATTTTGAACTTGTTTCTTTCTAGACGCTTTGTCAAACACAAATTGAATGTAAACTAGATTCATCTTTAGGAAAATAATAGTGACGTTCATAATAGACAGTTAATGTGTGAAATTTAATCTCTACTCTTGTACACTAGTGCCACCTGAAATATATGGCGCGTATTTTAAAAGAATAATTTGATTTCAACTTGGTTTCATACTTTAGAAATCTTCGATTTTTCTTTCATGACTCAAATCAACACATATAGAAGTTTGCTTATATTTGATATTTCATCAGAAGCTTAACAATATTCAATAACATGTAATGTTACACCAGATGAAAATATAAATTTACAGCTTCTTGTCGATTACCGTGGAAAACTTTTACACCACAACTATGCTCAGCAACGTTGAGTTTTCTTTCTTCATAGAACATTAACGGTGAATTCAGTCAACATTAGGATTTTGAAATCTTTTAGATAATCCTTTTAATTGTGAAATAACTTAGACATAGCAAATCCATGAAATGCGAATGGTGTTAAAAAAAAAACGGTTTCAAAATATCATTGATACAATTTAATTTATGCTAGAATTATTTTATCGCAAATTAGTTATGTACTCGTTATAGTTGATAATTTCTCTTAAATTTAGTTTAATATGACAGCTGATTTTGTACTTAATCAAACTTCTAGTTTCAAGTCGATAAATGATGTAGAAGCAAGTTTCATTTCAAATGAGTTTAATGACTGCAAGGATATTATATTGTAACTAGATAAACACTTAGTACTTTATGTTTTTAGCAATGACAGATATAGTTCCATTATTGTTAAGTATATATGAAAGACAATCTAACGTTAGACAGGCTTCTGACACTTCTTGATTTTTATAAGCGGAAGAAACCAACTTGTTGATCATCAATCTAGTATACTTTAAAACCAAGACGTGTCAGCACCCTATTTAACGTTAGGTTGTCTTATTTAAGAAAATACAGTCGTATGATACATCTATCTAAATACACAAGTCAGATTACTGTGACAAACGTCAGACTGTTCTCACTATTTGGTATTATATATCTTGTGCAGTTAAATTTTTGACATAATATTAGTATAAATATTTCTTATTGAAAATGTCTATAGCAGCAATTTATTTCATGCTAGAACTTCTCATGAGCTAGTCAAATCTTTTGAATGTAAATGAGACAATTTATTTAGTTTACATTGAAGAAAACATAAATTAAAGTGGAGAATAAAATATTTAGAGTATCGGATTTAATTATTTAAATTTTTTCCAAAGTCAAATAATAAGCTTCACTTATTCAAGCTAATTTCACTTACTTGTAGCGTCTTTCATGCAACAAGATAAATTATCATTAATATACATGTAGAGGAGATGTACCATTTAATGACTGGAAGGCTTATGTAATTTCTATGTTTTATGAGAAGACTGTATGATATTATAACGATAAAATTAATTTTTTATTTTTCGGTGATTTCTTTTGATAATTTGTTTTATAAATAACATATCCATCTTACACTTACGTTTGATTATGATGAGTTCATCAATATGATAAAATAATGGAATGAGTATAGTAACTGAACTAATGACTCACTCAAAAAGCGATCTACAGTCTTAAGTAAATAGCTGTCAGATAACTGACTCAATAGGTAAATGTATGCATTTTTATTTTCGGGAAATCAGTTACATAAAATATGTTCAACAAAGGTAATATGACATCGGGTGATAAATATGTGGTCAATATATAAATCAGAAAGCAATCAATAACCTTTGATTTTAGCCTATATATCAGGGAAAATTAAAAACGGTAATTTTTTAATCTGTTGATTGTGTTTTAGACAATAGCTAGCCGTTGAGCCATGAAACCAGATACACAGAGAGCAAGCATGGATTTAAGAAAATACATTCAAAGTCATTGAATTTCTATAGCTAAATGTATTTTTACACAATAAAACATTTCCTATACCTACAGGAATATGAAATCCAAAGCAACTGGAACGCTTAACTGTTAAAATCAACTTGGAAATTCTAAACATGCACAACTTTTTTCCTATTCATTATGAATTATCCTACGAGTTATAGATTCCATTGTCCAGATTTATTATTCAGAGCTATGGGGGTCACGTAGAATCCTTGATATGTAAATATAAATTTCCCGGTCATTTCTGAAAGCATTTGGTTTAGAAATTTTCACTTCAATAATTTTCATGGGTTTTACGAGCACCATAGAACTGTAGTTTAAATGTGTACAGTCAACCATTTTTATTTCCAAACGTGGAAAATATTGTTTTGCAAATAGCAACTGATTTCGTCTGACTCTGTATTAGTAGACACACCATTCATAACTCAGTATTATTAGGTGTGAACATATTCAACAATGTATTCACAATAAAACATCAAATCATTTCAAATACATAAAATATGAAGATTAAACTTCATTAAAGATTAATCAAATTTAAAATTTTGAACTTCGCTTTTAACCACTACAGTCTAACAGTTAACAACTTAATAAATAATTTATTTTTTACTTTATTTCAGTACTAACCACCTCAAAACCTTTTATATCCGTATTTTACTATCAGTATTACTCTAAGACTTAGACTGATATGTTATATATGACATATAAGTTTTAAATTTCACTGTGATTAAATCAGGGTTATACAAACCTGATTGCATATAAATACATTCATTCGCAGTGGCCAAATTAAAATAAGTCAGTACAATATAATTTTTTTATGTTTTGTTTCGAGTTTAGTTGGCTAGCGAAATAGTCCCGTTTCTTGATCTGAAAACTTAGGTGAAATGGTGCAGAAGTCATAGGAGTAATGCACTTATCGTTTTATTACACACAAGTTTTCCATACCATTTATTCATCAGTACTGTCCGTTTGTTTTTTTTTTCTTAATAAATAATTATCATCTTTGAAACATATATTGATCTGTCAGAAAGGGTTTTTATGTACATTATAATAACTTTGATAGTTCGGATCATGAGTCAATTGAAACACTGCTAAGGAGCCCTAAAATAGGACGAAACAGCCATCTAGTGCTTCCAGGTTTCCTATGGTGGTCCAGCTTCAATTAACTCATGATCTCAACTATTAAAATTACCATAATAATCTGTTATATATTATTTTAATAATTAAAACATTATTTTTTTCAAAGAAAAATCATTAAAATTTTCACATAACTGTATCTTTTTATGTCATTCAATCATTCACAACATAGAACTTCCTACGTACGTACATCAGTTCGAGTCGCCATACCACATTAGCATAGTGATGCAGTTGTCGATTCAAATCTCATAGTGGTAGAGGTAGTAAGAGTATCGGAAGTATTAGGATTTGAAGATGTTATTGAAGGAGCATAATTTTTTTGAAAAGAGAAAAAAGATAGAGACATGAATAATTCAGAAGATTATAATTTGGTAGAACACAAACAGTGGATACATCTACGTCATCGTTTTAAGACTTCCACTGATTGAAGTTTGAATTTATTGAAAATTTTCAAAATAATAATAATGATAAACATTAACCTAACATCCTTATTTTTGTTCTCATAACTCTGATGATAATTATTAAATATATTTATTGATTATTTTTTACAAATTAAAAAAAGAAACATTCTTGGCAACTTTTGTTGAATTTAAGTGATATAGTAACAAACTCATTATTTAGTGCTTATTTACTTGTACATATTTCTTAATTGGAAAACAAAATCAATACTGATAGAAATCAATAATAAATAATAGTAAAAATTGAATTATAAAAAATTGTGTACATTACTTATAGTTTATAAATAAAAGTATTCAATACTGATGTACTTGAGAAAAGTGTTTATATTTATTGTTTGTTAAATTTGCAAAATAATTTTATATTGATTATTAATTCAGTATAATTTGTATGGTTAATCTAAAGAAAATTTTTTTAACAACGAAATAATACTATGAAAAATTAGATAAACATAGACAAACAATGTATTTCAGAAGGGGATTTTTGTGGAGATTTAGTATTTTCATAGTTGAAAGCATGAGTCCATTGAAGTTAGACCACCAAGGAAAACCTGGAGGCACTGGACGGCCGTTTCGTCCTATTGTGGGACTCCTCAGCAGTGCTCATCCACGATCATGCCTCACGAGATTCGAACCCAGGACCTACCAGTCTCGTACCAGATCACTTAACCGATAGACCACTGGGCCGGATGCGCACTGCTGAGGAGTCCCACAATAGGACGAAACGGTGGTCCAGTGCTTCCAGGTTTTCCATGGTGGTCTAGCTTTAATTGACTCACGCCTTCAACTAAGAAACAATGTATTTAACATTTAAATCAAGTAGTGATAAGATGAGGTGTGAATACAACACATATCACCTAGTGTACTGTTATCAAAGCTACAAGCGTAATTTATTTGATTAGTATTTAATGATCTCTATTTTATTATGATAAAGTTATAACCATGATGATAAGCTATTCAGATCAGTATGATGAACGTTTGTAGTTCTTGGTTTAAAAAAATAATTGACGTGAATTCATGTTGTTCCTAAATGTTCCATGATAGTTAGTTAAACCTATGGCTTATCATTCATATATCTAAGAGAGTAACATTTGTGAACTTCGATTTCTTTTGAGTTATGATTAGTTATGTAATACAAACTCAATAACAGTAATTACACAAGCTAGTGGTTATGAGGACTAAGTTGCTAAAAAGATGACGTGATGGTGTTTGAAGTAAAAGGTTCTAGGTTAGGGTCCTGGAGTGAACGTCAATTTCGGCATGCAGGTACATCCGGCTGACGAGTCCCAAATGGAACAAGACGTACATATTAGATTATTCTGCTAGCCACCATTTATCTTTGTTTATAACAATAATCTAGCGTTTTTTCACATCGAAATATTTCTTAGTACACTGGTAGATCATGTCATTTTAAACATA